GGCTGGGACCTGGTAAAGTTGTGTGCCAGGATGGAAAGGTGATCTTTGTTCGTCATGGTGGAGTTTTCGTCAGTGTCTCCAAATAGACTGAAGAAAGTAGGTCATGAATTTGAACATGTTGAAAGAAGTCACAAAGAAGATGATCGTGTTGAAACCATACAAAGTGATGCAAGTGAGGAGGAGATGGGGAATGAGATTTTTGATCTCAACAATAGAGACATAGAAGAGAGCAACATGCAAGAAATCACTGACGGAAGACAAGTTTCAAAAGACATATAATTGAAACAAAATGACAGAATATCACTCAAGACACCAGAAGGAAATTGGGTATTAGCTGAGGTAATATCAAGAGCAGGAAAGAAAGGTGGCAAGTACACAAATTGGTTCAATGTGAGACAAGATTCAGGTGAAGCAGTTAGTGTAAACCTTGACGTGGCAGAGTGGAAAATTGACACTGTAGATGAATGTGTAGATGTGTAGATGTCGTGATGGTTCCAAAGTCAAAACACAACGAGCAATCATGTGTAAGTGCAAAGCTTGAAGAATTGAAGAAGTTAGAATCTTTTGACACTTACGAAATAGTTCTAGATCAAGGACAGCATAGAATTTCAACAAGTATTTGTCACAGAGTGACGAAATATCCCCCACCTGTACACCATAGTACCAAATATGAAGACAATCCAGCGATTAGTTCTTGAGATATTGTGGCAACACCGTTTTCCAACTCCAAAAACAGATTTGCCTGCTGTGACCTTGAAAATGGGGTCAAGGTCACCAAATCTGACAGGTGTATGCGGTGTCTGTATATACACTATAGTTCCAAATATGAAGACAATCCAGCGATTAGTTCTTGAGATATCGCGGCAACACCGTTTTCTAACTCCAAAAGCAGATTTGCCTGCTGTGACCTTGACAATGGGGTCAAGGTCACCAAAACCGACTGGTGTCTGCGGTGTCTGTATATACACCATAGTTCCAAATATGAAGACAATCCAGTGTTTAGTTCTTGAGATATCGCGGCAACACCGTTTTCCAACTCCAAAAGCAGATTTGCCTGCTGTGACCTTGAAAATGGGATCAAGGTCACCAAAACCGACTGGTGTCTGCGGAGTCTGTATATACACGATAGTTCCAAATATGAAGACAATCCAGTGTTTAGTTCTTGAGATATCGCGGCAACACCGTTTTCCAACTCTAGAAGCAGATTTGTCTGCTGTGACCTTGAAAATGGGATCAAGGTCACCAAAACCGACTGGTGTCTGCGGAGTCTGTATATACACCATAGTTCCAAATATGAAGACAATCCAGTGTTTAGTTCTTGAGATATCGCGGCAACAAACAGGTGGGACGTACGGACGGTCGTGAATACTATATCCCCCGCTTCGCGCTTTCGCGCGGCGGGGGATAACAAGATGGGTGATCACAGAGAAGGGACAAGAAGTGAAGGCTAGATTACATGTAGTTGCAAGAGGATTTGAGGAGGGTTTTTCTATGCAGAAGGATTCTCCAACTGTCAGCAAGAGTGTCCTCAGACTATTCCTTGCTATTGCAGCTTGTAAGCAATGGAATGTCAAAACCACAGATATCGGATCAGCTTTTCTGCAGGGAAAAGAATTGGAGAGAGATGTATTCTTGGATCCACCAGAAGAAGCAAATGTCCAGCAAGGATATATCTGGAAATTGAAGCATTGTTTGTATGGACTAAATGATGCTGCTCGTCAGTTTTATCTCAGTGTAGTTGAAGAACTTGTCAAATTAAAGTGTGAAGAATCACCTCTAGATCCAGCTTTCTTCTATTACAAGAATGATTCTGTGTTGTGTGGTATGCTGGTGAGTCATGTGGACGATTTTATGCATTGTGGTGAACCAGACTTTTGAGTCAACTGTGATGAAGCAATTGCATCACAGATTTCTTGCGGGAAAGGTGGAGGAAAAGAGTTTCCAGTATACCGGGTTTGACATTATGCAAGTTGAGAGTGGTGTGTTCATGGACCAGTCTGCATTTATTGAAGAAATACACGTTGAGGTGATATCATCAGATAGAAGTGCGCAGAAAAGGGAGTCACTCACGCCAAACGAAAGCACAAAATTTAGGGGGATAGTTGGAAAATTGAACTGGGCAGTTCAAGGTTCGAGGCCTGATTTAGCCTTTGAGATGATGGATCTTAGTATGAAATTCAAAGCAGGCACTGTGTGTGATCTTATAAGAGCTACAAAAGCCTTGAAAAAATTGAAGTCTGTTTCAACAAAAGTGTATTTTCCTAGGCTGGATGATCAATTGAAATGGAGGATTATTGTGTTTTCAGATGCTGCTCATGCAAATCTGAGTGATGGCATTGGCAGCGTGGGTGCACATGTGATATTTCTTGCTGATGATAGCAATTGTTGTGTTTTGTCATGACATTCTGGCAAGATTAAGAGAGTGGTTCGTTCCACATTGGCTGCAGAGGCTCTTAGTCTTCAGGAGGGGTTGGAAGAAGGAGTGTATCTCAGGGGGGTTTTGGCTGATGTGATCGGCGTTAAAGTGCACATGGAGGCATAGGGGGACAACCGCAGCGTTGTCGATGCCATACATTCAACAAAAATGGTGGATGATAAAAGACTGCGGATTGATCTAGCTGCCATAAGACAGTTGCTTGACAATGGAGAAGTGCTGAAAGTGTGTTGGTGTCCAGGTGAATATCAGTTGGCAAACTGTTTGACAAAGAGAGGAGCATCTGCACACCAACTAATGACTGTTTTGTCATCAGGAAAACTTTCTGGTTTTCAGTGACTCTGTAATCATGGTGATGATGCATGACAGTTCTGACAGGAAAACTTTCGGATTTTCAGTGACTCTGTGATGATGACAGTGTTTTTATCTTTGATTGACTTTCACCAAAAATAACAAAAATATGTTTTTGCTTTTAGATATTTTTATATTTTAAAACAGATCTTTAATAAAAAAATAAATAAGAGAATTTTATAGGAGTGTTAAGGCTCCACATTGCGACTTTTGTATAACTTCCGGCGTACCGGAAGTATGTTTTTTTAGAGTACGAATAAATGGCGACGAGATGAGCATGTGTTGGTGTCGTTCTCAGTGATATGGCGAATTAACATTAGGCTAGTCTGTATTCGTCTTGTAACCGTGAGATGTACACAAGGGCTGGTGCTGACATGCTTCAATCCCTTCTGAAGATTTACTCATGTTTTTTGTGCGAGAATCACTTCCATGGAGTGATCTTGAAAACCCCTTTACGCAACTTGGGCACAGCGGGTTCACCATGCATCCTGTTTTGTTTGTTTGTTTGTTTGTTGTTGTTTAACACCACACTCAGCAATATTCCAGCTATATGACGGCCATCTGTAAATAATCGAGTCTGGACAAGACAATACTTCCTGTCTTTTTACCACTAAACTTCTGTGTTCTTGTTTCAGATAACAACCACAATTGTTTTCTTTACAACCCTTTGTTTGAACCCAAGTTCCTTCAGTTTGCTCCCGTGAGTCACCTCTTTAGACAAGCATGGGTTGCTGAAGATCAATTCTAACCCGAATTTGCATCCTGGTACCCAAGCCTTATTATATTATCAAAAACTGATTTGTTCTCCAAGCCAAGAATTGATGACTGTATTGTCAAAATTGGTCGAGCAAAGTTTGTGAGTAGGTTTAACCTTTTGTAGGGGTATTACCAGATCCAGCTAAGAGGAATGCAAAAAATATTTCTCCTTTTACTACACCATATGTACTTTATCAATACAACGTCAAACCATTTGGGTTAAAAAATGTACCGGATATCAATTTTTTTTTCTTAAACCCAACTTGTTCCGCAGGGCAAGTAGATAATATTTTGTACTTGTTCTGCAATATTTTCACTGGCCCTGTTAAATTTCATAACGTTTTATGTTCTCAGTCATCATTTATGGCAAACAGCATTGCCATTGCTGTTCATTTCCGCCCATTCAAACCTCGCTCAACAATGTGTCTTGTGGTTTGTTTTCTCTCTTTTTTTACAGTCCTATTGTTTTTGAGAATTATTTCTTTGACATGTTTGTGAATTAAATAATGTTTTTTAGTTGTTAACCCAACCATCCCTCATCAAAAACTTAAAATTCCGGCCATTTCCCTCATAAAATCATTCATCAGCTGTTCACTATCGCATTGACATCTGAGCGTCTCTTACAACAAGAACAATTCTTTTTAATTATCTCCCTAGTTTCGACGTGACAAACGTATGTCCTTTTATTTCATTAACAGACAGTTGCTAAGTATGTCGTCTATTTATGATATGAGCGATATGTATTTAGTTTTTATTACAGTGTCCCTCGCTTTTGCGCCCTTCAATATGGCGCTAACACAGACACAATTTCTTCTAACAATTGCATCAAAATTCTTTGAAGTTGTATCATTGGGTACGTTTTAACTAAATCACTGGTAGATTTAGAGAAAAAGTGTGTACAGCTGATTGCTATGTATATAACAAAATACACACGGTAATCTTAATTTCAGCAAATAAAACAATGCCTTGGTGAGCAGGAAATACAATTTGAATGGTAAATCATCATGTCTAGTAATATATTACATCAAATTTCATATCTATATTGACAAGTTTGTTATACCTGTTTGTTCTCATCATGAGCATCAATCCACGCTATTGGGATACAATGACATGCATCAACCAAGTCAGCGAGCCTGACCACCCAATCCTGTTAGTCGCCTCTTACGACAAACATGGGCTGCTGAAGACCTATTCTACCCTGAATCTTCACTGTCTAGAAGATTATGATGCATGGACAGACAGCATGACAGGACATGACATTAGATCACTTGCACAATAAGTTCAGGGGAGCTGAAAACATAAGAATTCAAGCATGCACACATCTTCTTCCATTGTGATGATGGAGATTATCTTACTCAAACCATGAACATCCAATACTGTTGAAACATAACTTATTTCATTTCGACTACTGCAAGCATAACCCTACCCACACAGAGAACTGAGGGACATGCACTCCTACCTTGTCCTTCTCCTCGGTGTGTTTGGCCACCATGTCTTTTGTCAGTGCCCGGGTCGGGTGGTTGGAAGACTCTGTGTCATACACAGACCTATGCACGAAGTGGGCCTCAGAAAAGTCAGGATGTTTTGTGTTGATGTAGGCCAGTTCTATTGCCACTAAATTCTCAACCATTGCATTTGTTGTGGGAAGTCGTCTTCTCAGTAAGTTTGTTACAACATCAATAATTCTTTCATGTAGTTTAGGAAACCGCAACATTTCTTGCTGTAAAAAAAATATCTAAATAACACACCCACACAAAGACAGCCCCGGTTAAGGGATAATGGTCAAAACATAAAAATAGGGCACTGTATCTTATCTGGATACATAGTCAACAGTTCAAAATATCAAGAGAGCAGACACTTAAAATACAATTGGACAGGTTAAGATATATAGAGGATATTTCATGCGTCGATTGAAATATCATGTTTCTCTCATTGAGTGAAAGAGGGGAAAATGTAATCTTGCTTCCATCACAAGATGAGAGAAACATGATATTTCACGAGACATATGGAATATCCTATTTCTTATATACTTTTGGTTATTATTTCATCACAAATGTAAAACCTTGAAACGTAAATTATCTCAACCTAACACGCAGGGACGTTTCACTACCCCTTGTAATTGCGACTAAAATATTAGTTCCGTGTTTGTAAAATCTTAAAAAATTCATAAAAAAGTAGGTTACGTAAGGTGAGGTGAGGTGAAATTGGGTTTAACGTCACATCCAAGATTACTGATTAAGATTATTAGTGATGTGTGTGTGTGTGTTTGTGAGTGAGTGTGAGTGTGTGTGTGTGTGCTTGTATTTGTCCGGACTGATGCCAATTTATAGTGCTAGTTAATTGAGACACCATGTCGCAATTTAACATGAATACCCCACTCAGACACAGTTTACTGACTCCGAGCGGACCAGTCCTTGTTTTAACCCCCTAATGCCGAGCGTCAGACAGGGTAACAATAAGATAAATTGGTTCTCAGGCAATAGCTTTTGAAAATATCGGGCGGGCGGGCGGGCCTTTTTTTTGGTTGTGTACACACTAGTAAGAATCCAAATCCGTATATCCCTGTGTGTAAGGAGAGTTTTTCATAACTAGAATTAGGAGGCTTTCAAGATGTGTGTGTGGTGGGTGGTTGGTGGGTGGGGTCGTCTTATACACAGGGTTGAGTATTTTATGGGGTTTCTTTCCGCAACACAAAAATATTACTGTGGGCACAGAACACCAGAAATGCCATGTCAACAAATCCGTACTGAAATTCTCAAATTAATCAGGTAATTTTACTGTCTGGTTGTAGAAAGAGTTCATAATATATTTGAACTTATGTTGGTAATCTATTTTATTAATTTTATTCAACATTTCATTCAATATTGTTTCAATTCATTTCGGCAAAATCATATGTGAAGTGATCGGAAGATCGAAAACCAAGGTCATATTACCGCTATTGGCGCCTTGAAACAAACTTTAGTTGATAGAGAATGGATATATGTATATCATAAATGCCATACATTGAATGCTGAAAGTCATACTTGTTGTAGTTTGACTATTATATATCAACATGAATTTCTTGCAATCGCAAGTGCATGGACAGGTGATTGGTCAAATTCTTCCATTCGAAAACATTTCCAGCAATGGCAATCAGCTGAACCAAAGTGCTACGCTTATGGTTATTATTTTATTTCTCTTTCTCTCTCTCTCTCTCTCACACACACACACACACACACATCATGTCTAGTGATGCATCACAAATATAATGTTTTCATTGACCAAATTTGCAAACAGCAAAGGAAGCATACAAACTCCTATTACCGCCATGACCGTAACACACATAAAGCAGTGCGCATGAAAAAGGAAGTTACTGAACGTTATATTGGATCGTATTGTTTGTAAGTATTGTAGCATTTCACAGTTGAGGTCGTGTGTTCGAGACGCAGAACATTTAAGGATTCTTTTGTTGTTGAAAATGGAAATAAAAAGGAAACGTGCGGCGGACTTTATGATGATGCGGCGGTGCCTGAGAACCAAGAATATATTTTTTTTAGCCTTAGTACCATCTTTTAACGTCTTTTGGTATGACATGGCCGGGGAACGAACCCCAGACCTTCCGCTCTACAGGCGGATGCTCTGCAACTAGACGACAGAAATTATATTCAAGGTCAAGGAAATTCATACATTTTCATATATTTGGATATGATTATATATACATAATCAGCTTAAATATATTCTTAATATTCTTGAAATCTACGAGAATACACGCTGGTCAAGTAACAAAAAATGGCGCTTGGCAAAACAAACAGTCTGAATAGATCTGTTAAATGAGAAATTTTAGTTTATAACAAAATATTTTCAAGAGAATAACAAATGGCAAGAAGCGATATGAACTCCATAAAAGACAATCTATCATTATTGTTGTCATGAACAATTTGGAACTAGCGTGAAAAGGAAGTCAACAGTTTGTGTATGGGCTTGACATTTAGGATAAAGGGAGACAATTTGTGGGGAGGTAACTCTTGTATGAAAATAGTTCTGTCAAAGTGCTTTGTTCACTGGAATGAAAATACCACTTTTCTCAACCTCTGAAAACTCAGTTTTTGACACTGAGGTATAAAATAAAACCAAAAAACCATAAGTGTTGAGCCCCATGACTAAACACACATATACCAAATTTAATAATGCTAGAAAACATATGGATGCTGTGGTGGCCATATTGAAAAGAAGATCTGAACCTCTTGAACAAATTGGGGTGACATCTTCAGTGTTATTAGTTCAGTGGTTTCTGAGAAGATGTTTTAGGCAGATAACGCTGGGTGCCAGGCATACATAAGCTCACTTGACTTTCAATGAGGTGAGCAAAAATTGAACTTAAAATAATTGAACTATTCCCAGTCCACAATATAACCTGAGTGCCACAATGCTGGATCATTCTCTGCATCTCTTCATGTACCAACTCCACACATCTCAGACTTGGTTCCTCAAGCCGACGTATCTGTCGCTTCACAAGTAGCTCGAAGGAGATCTCAGGGACAAACAATGCTGGACGAGGACCCTGCAAGATTCATGGTGAGCTCAACTGAAATTTCAACTTCAAACAATAAATTGATATATTTATCCCTAAAATATATTGCTGTACACAGGTTCATAAACCTGATTTAAGTTTATGTAAAAATATGTTTATCCTTAACAGCACAGAACATAGAAGAAACAAGATAATCCATGCTTGCTGGGTATAGCTGACAGACGCCGTGTGCATCCTCCTTGCTCACTTGTGACCAATAAATAATGGCATTGTATGAATTCATGGGAATAGCGGCAGGTACAAGAAAGTTGTTAGCATCCCCACATTTTCAGAATGCCCCCATCATGAACTATTTTGACTTGACCAGATCAAGTGATTGTTGACCTATCCATGCTCACACATGCCCATGCAGTATAATTTTGAAACAGTAAGTCCCAAGCCTCCAGTTACATTACCTGGGTTGTATACTCCCCAGGGAGATTGAAAATCGAGTGCATACTGATCCACTGACCGGGGTAATAATAGTGTAGCGCTATGAGCATCCACTTGGTGAATGGGATCTGGCGCATTATAAATGCACTTATTATTATTATTATTATTATTTTTATTATTATTATTATAATAACAAAGTTATGTGCAATTCCATTTTAATGACATCACTTCTGGTTGGGAAAACATGTGTCTAATGCAAGACAACTTCAAAACAGAAAGTCCTATACTTCTAACTACATTAATAAGACAGTTCATTTGGAGAGAATATATAAGAGAAGGAGAAAATGAGAAAATGATGGCTGGTCAAAATGTTCTAAGCCTGACTAACTTTCAGCTATGGGCCATAACAAAATGAATAAGACAATGTGGTACATTGTTTGAATAGTTAATTGCAAGTGTATTTCGTTTGTAGAGGCTGTTTGTATATTAGTGACAGCCAGTTGAATTTAATAAGGGTCCAAATGGACACAGAAATGGAAAAGAACGAGCACTGAGCAGTCAAGTTTTTTACTTTAGAAAAAAGTACTCCCCAAGAATTTAATGACCATTATGTAACCTTAGGTTCCGGGTACTTTGCCCTTCTACCTATGGTCACTTGTCCTTATCAACTACTCCTTAGTTCTAGGGATGATGTAGCTCTCTCAAAATCACAAGTCAGATGGTTTGCTCCAGTCCATTTTTTTTATGATAGAATTAATCATAAATATGCACACATGGTCCTCAGATATGTTCTCGTTGTTGCCTGATATAAATACAACACATACCTAGATGATGCTTTGAAAAGCCTGATGGTTTTTCTGTTGAACGTTTAACTCGGGTTCATTTCTGACTCGGGATCCCAAAACCTACAGAGAACTGTTCTGTTCAGCTGTATGCTCCCGACTCCCCGCACCACTCTCGGACAACTAACAAAATACTATCGATGATAATTTTAGCTCCTCCCTCCAAAATCACATTTGACATCATGAGAAATGAGTCATGATGGTCATTCCCCAATTTCCATAGTTATTAGTTTTACCATCAAGCTTTTCTTGACTAACCACTTTGATTACCTCTTTAGGGTCATTGGTCAACTTGGACATACTCATATAACCAAATCAAATACCCTCAACTACCTCTGCCAGACTGGAAGGCACCAAAAAGATACCCAATCCTGTTATTTAGACATTCCAATGAAGCAGTAGTATTCAGAAATACTTGATCACCACTAATCTAACAATCCTGTTCTATCCATCTGTCCCTCTTCTGACATCTTTATTGCAAGACCGTATTCTACCAATTTCCTCATACCAACGAAAAGTTATCCCTATCACTCAAGAGAAGCAATATCCATAATCATTTGCCCTGGGGGTTATGCCCTCACCCTGTACTGTCACTTCTCTCATATGCATCCATATTTTTACCCAAAAGCTTAATTTAGTAAACTTCATTTTAAGTAAATACTAAAAAAACCTTTTTCCAAAATACCCTGGTTATAATATGTCACAAGTGGATGGGGATAAGTGCCCTAGCTATTCCACTGTTATACGTTACGCAGCTATGTTTAAGGCTGGGAGAACAATGACACAGGCCTAAGCAATGGATCCATTGAAACCATTATTCATGAACATTTACAGATGAATAAGATATCTGCTCATTGGGTGCCACAGTTTCTAAATTCTGATCTTAAGGAAAAAAGAACCGACATTGCCAGATAAAATTTAGAGTTAATTGAGGAGGATTTCGTCAATTTCAAAAAGAGATTAGTAACGGGTGATGAAACATAGGTCTACCACTATGATCCCAATCAAAATGTCAATCCATGGAATGGCACCATTCCACTTCTCCTGCACGTTTCAGACAAGCAAAATCTTGATTCGTCTGCAAACATGGTGTAACGCCATTGGCACACACCCTGTCCCTGGTGTTGCCTACCTCACCTTAGTCTTTGCCGCTTATGGTAAGCTTATGGTCACACCCTTCACAGGATGCCTTGCTTTCAGGCAGGCTGGATGGAGCTCATTTTTTTAAAGCTAGCTACTGAAATTCACATTCCGGTCTTTGTACAGAACTCTCTATTGACAACAGGAGCAGAATGGAATCAATCGCAGAGTGCAATTAATGAAATGAAACCATCTTGTCAAGGTGTAGTTTGTTTAGGCCTGCCATGCACAGGTGGAAGAAAAAACACAGTTTGACGAACCAAACATTTAGGTACTTTGGGGTATTGACGTCCCCACTCTGTCGTACCCACAATTCGCCATTTTGTCTGCTCATGGGGATACAGTCTCAGAGACATTTTTTAGCATGTGCTTTGCACAATTGCATTAGTGATTGTGAGTTTCCCTATAGTCGCACACACTTTGGCTTTTGTGCATCACATGCTGTTCATGAATGATGTGAAATTTCATTGTAAATAGATGTTGCATTCAGATGCAAAGCAACGGTATTGTTAATGTACACCTCAACGATAGCTACATTCAATTAATTAGTTCACTCATTTTTTGTCAGTAGTATACATGCCATATGCAGTGCAACTTTTAAAACAGAAAATCTCATGCCTCTAGAAATATTAACAATAAAGTTATATGCACTTCACTGCAAATATTTTGACAAATTCTCGATTACAAATTTGAAACCTAAACAAAAGAACATTCTGGAATGGCTAATAGATGGTCTAGATTGTATGGATTCAGTCGTTAAACCCGTAACTATCTTTCGGAATACCCCGTGTTAAAGTTTTCGAGGTTGTATGATTTGAAATCACATTCCGACTGTCACTTTCATGATCTGGTAAGCGACTCTCCAATTGGTCGGATCAAAGGTCGTTCTGACGTGACCCTAATGGGATGTCTTCAGATCTTTGTTTAGCGGTAGCGAGAACTAAGGTCTGATTTTAATGAGATTGTGCTGCCATTTGAATTGAGTGGACATTAACATTTGGTTGGTGAGTAACTGCTCCTGCCTGAGTCTGTGCATCGATCCAACCTGGACTGTATGGATGGAAACTGGAGTCCCTCCTTGTATCCCAGTGTCAGAATCCCACCACAAACCAGTCGATGTAGGCCCTAATGTCCGTGGCATGTCAGTTGGGTGAATCCATATCTTGGAGTTAGTGGGAGTTGAAGTGTTGAAGTCAAATGATGGCAGCAAATCTGTCCACAACATACAAGTCATCTAAATGTCCTACCCCCTTCTGATCTGGTAAGAAGGACCATCCCCACAGGTGGTGGCCACACTGTGCACCACTGTGCACCACCACTGTGCAATCCAGTCTCCCATCTTCCACCTGACCGTGTGGATCCAAATCTGACTTAATCATGGTGTCACAGCTGTAACTCTGGCCATATTGGTAACCGTGGCGTCCAACCCTGTCAAAAGTCCCATGGACATGTCAAGCTGAAGCTGGATTGAAGAAAAGAAGCTGAAGAGAGTATTGTGAACCACAACCTAGACGTCAATCCGTGGGAATGACAGTCACCGACCATCCACGACCCAAGCCTGCGGTGATGTCACCTCCTTTGGTGTTCCTCTGTCAGCCATGGTCCTTGCTCCACCCAACTGTGGCTGTCCAGCCAGGGAGCTTTCAAAATGGCCGTCTACTCTGCCTACTCAAGTCAACCCCTCATCTATCATGGCCTTCATGTTCCCTTACTGCTTCTGGAATAAATTTTTAAAAAGACTCAAAGGTAGAAGAGGTGTAGCTTCTGCCTGGGAAGGAAGGACAGGCAGTGGGGAAGGTTAAGGATATCCTCCAGTGACCTGGTGAGGTGCTTCTCATGGACTATTAAGCATAGACAGGGCCACCACAGTCTTCCTGGCAGCTTCCCTCATGAAATCCTGAAAAAATCATCCTGAGAGAGAGAAACACACTAGGTACATCTCCATTCCTCCGAGCCGAGTGAATATCGGCACTTCCGGCATTAGTGAGGGTCTCCGGCGATCTTGAAGTACCCACACTTCTGACAAGCTGAAGAAGGAGTTACCATCTTACTCACAAAACCATGTTTACCTCCCTAGCAACTATATTCCAAGGTAAACTAGTCCTCTTCAACTATAGGTGAGGTGAGGTGAAATTGGGTTTAACATCGCGTCAAAGATTATTGCACTTATATAGCGATATGCATGTGTGTGTGTGTGTGTGTGTGTGTGTGTGTGTGTGTGTGTGTGTGTGTGTGTGTGTGTGTGTGTGTGTGTGTGTGTGTGTGTGTGTGTGTGTGTGTGTGTGTGTGTGCTTGCTTGTACTAGACCGGACTGATGCCCATTTATCGTGCTAGCCCACTGAGATACCATGGCGCAGTTTAACATGAATACCCCACTCAGACACAGTATACTGACTCCGAGCTGACCAGTCCTTGCTTTAACCCCTTAATGCCGAGCGCCAGACAGGGTAACAATAAGTCCCATCTTTTAACGTCTTTTGGTATGACGCGGCCGGGGATCGAACCCCGGACCTTCCGCTCTCCGGGCGGACGCTCTACCACTAGACCACGGAGGCGGTCCTCTTCAACTATAAAGCAAATCACAGGACTAGTCTACTGGTAAACTATGTGAACTAC